GCAAGTTTAATTGACCTGCTGTCTCTTTATTTTCGCTCAGCCAAGCTGAAGCAGCCCGCATTCCCCTTTTCGCGCGCAGGTCACCTGCGGCGACCTTCCCAGCACATTGCAAGAGAGGTCGAGAGGTGTATCCACTGTTCAAACGACAAGCAGCTCGCTGACTATTCCCTTAAAGTACACCACACCTGTGTCGATTCACGCGGCTGAAGCTGCTTCGGTGAACGAGTACACAACTACCCCCCGAGAACAACAGTCACCCGTGAGCGTACTGCAGTCGGTTTTGGCATCACGAACGCTTCCCCCGCCTAAAGCGAAGAAGATTCCGCCTCCCTCAGGCCCCAAAAGGTCACCTCCCTCTGCAAAGAAGGCCGGTGTCACCCCTGCCAAGAAGACCCCGCCACCCCTCACTAAGACGAGTGCGGCCCCTCCCCCCAAAAAGAGACCGCCTCAACCAGCGAAGAAAAGGCTCCCCCCACCAGTCAAGAGACGTCCTCCACCTCCAGCGAAGAAGAGCTCCCCCCCGGCAGTAAGGAAGAGCCCACCTCCCCCGGTAAAGAAAAGCCCTCCACCCCAAGCAAAGAAGCCTCCGCCACCACCAGTAAGGAAGAGCCCTCCTCCCCCAGCGAAAAGAAGCCTGCCCCCCCCGGTGAAGAAAAGCCCTCCACCCCCAGTGGAGAAGCCTCCGCCACCACCAGGCAAGAAGAGTCCACCTCCCCCGCCCTTCCACCCTGCTCCTCAGCCGCCACAAAAGTCTCCCCCACCGCCAAGTTCTCGGCCAAGCCCACCTCCTCTCCCATCCCCTTTGAGATCCCCCCCACCTCCCTCGCCGAGCCCGCCACCATTGCCTCCCCATCCCCCCCCAACCCCACCCTCGCCCCCCCAACCCAGCCCACCCCCCTCACCACCACCACCAAGTCCCCCACTTTCAGCACCACCCCCTAGCCCACCCCCTTCACCGCCATCCCCGAGTCCCCCGCCATCGCCACCTCCCCCTGGCCCCCCGCCATCGCCACCACCCAGCCCTCCCCCGCCCAGCCCCCCCCCCCGCCCCCTGGAGCTGCAGGTGAGCATGGCGCTGTGTCATCCCGTCGGTAAAGACCAGTACTGCATGGCTTCCCTGGGCCTGTCCCAGAGCCTGAGCACCGGAACACTGCAGCTGTACTGGGACGTGGACGGCACCACCGCCATCGGCGCCACCTTTGCATCGGCCGGCACGGGCGCGTCGCACACGGACGGCCCCTTCTCGAGCGTGGCAAGCGGCGTGGTGGCCACCTACACCGACGCTGGGGGGGAGCTGGTGGCCACCTCTTCGATGGCCCCGGTCCCGTTTAACGTCCCGCCCCCGCCCAGCCCCCCGCCCCACCCCCCGCCGTCGCCGCCGCCGCCTCCGCCCCCCTCGCCGCCGCCTGGCTCCCCGCCGCCGCCGCCGCCCCCTGACCTGGCCATCCTGTCGGCGTGGTGCGAGGACGACAGCACCTCCTTTGACCCCGGCGACTACGCGGCCTGCAGCATGGTGGTGGCCGGCAACCTGGTGACGGGCGTGGGCAGCCTGGACATCGGGTTCAAGTGGGAGGGCAGGCAGACACCCGACACCGCTACCGTCGCGGTGGCCGGACCCACCACATCCTACACCCGCAGGAACATGTTCCACCTGGGAGACCTGACCGAGGGATGGGTGTGGTACACGGACGGCACGGGCCACCAGTTCCCGGCGGTCACGGTGACGCTGCCCTTCCACCAGCCCCCCACCGCGCCGCCCCCTA